GGACTTTCCCGCCTCGACGCCTCCTCGAACAGCGGGGCTGTAATCGCCGGGGCGGAGAGCCAGGCGCAGGCCGGGCCCCGCGTGCGATATGGAGAGCGCGGCGGCGGCCTCGGCCAGCAGCAACAGCCGCCTTCGGAGCCGCCGCGGCTTCGGGCACTAGATCGAGGAAGCTGAGCCCGGAGCTGTCGTCCTTGCCGTCGCCGCTGCCTCCGCACCGGGCGCTGTGATGGAGTAGGGGCCCCCGCAGCCGGTGAGAAGCGTGCCCGCCCCTCGGACCGGGCCGGGTCCCGCTCCAGCCCAGCTCGACCTGAGGAGATACCTCCGCGTCCGGAGATGCAGCTCGAGCGCAGGCCGCCCGCCGAGCCGCGGGGCTAGACTGAACGCCGAGTCGCGGCCCGAGCCCCGAAGCCGCCACGTTCTGCGCCCCGCGGCCGCCTGGGACAAACTCGAACGCTGGTTCCTCTACTTTTTTTTTTTTTTCCTTCTTCATCTGCAAGTCTCAGGGACGGAGGAGGGGCGCCGAGGCCCCATGTGTGGGAGGATTGCTTCAGCCTCGCAAACTTGCACGGATTTTGGTGACTACTTTGGCCAGTGGTTCTGCTCTGATTTCCTCCCAGTTGTTGCAAATTCGCCATTGTTTCCAGGCTGCTCACAAAGTTGGATCCGGAATTTTTTTTCAACCGGGAGCCAACGGTGTCGAAGTGTCTGCAATGAACCCCGTGAATGCTACTGCTCTCTACATTTCCGCGAGCCGCCTAGTGCTCAACTACGACCCCGGAGACCCCAAGGCGTTTACCGAGATTAACAGGCTCTTGCCTTACTTCCGACAGTCCCTCTCGTGCTGTGTTTGCGGTGAGACGCCTTTTATTGTTCCCTTTTTAGGCTTGTTTTTTTTTTTTTTAATACCTTTGGGCAATGGTAACGGGAACGGTTCGAGAACATGGTAGTTTGCATTATTCAGCTTTTGTTATTTGTGCAGTGGTATACAGTCATTAGTTTTGAAACTCCAAAGGACTTTCACCCAGCATTTCAGAAAGAATCCTTCCAAACCGCTTTGTACAGCGGTCTGAACGTTTGAAACTGTTTATTTCATCTTAGGTCAGTTCCTTAGCATTTCTGATGATGGTTTTTTAAAATGACGTGAAATATGCATGTGTCCTGCTGCCTTTTTTTTTAACCTTCGGTACAAGAATTGATTTAATACCTAGCTTAGTTAAATCTGGTTAAAACATGTACATGTGGCGTGTTTGCATTTCCCCAAACTGGTGTTGTGTGTGGGTGCTGGTGTAATGTGACGCGCCCACAGCTAATGAACTCGGTGCGCAACTTTCCCCCAGGTTCTTCCACAAATGCTTTGACAGTTGGACGGTAAACAGTGCGCCAGGGAATACTTGATAGTGTACTAAATACTTTTTAGCTAGTGGGATTTTTACAGGATTACGTTTCTTACTGATTTGGTGGCTTTAATACATTGTGGCCTGGTAGAGGGTTATATTAGGTATTTTTGTTAAAAAAATGTTAGTGTGGCCCTAGCTGGTTTGGTTCAGTGGTTAGAGCGTCGGCCTGTGGACTGAACGGTCCCGGGTTTGGTTCCAGTCAGGGGCGCATGTCCAGGTTGCGGGCTCGATTCCCAGAGCGGGGTGTGCAGGAGGCAGCCGATCAATGATTCTCATCATTGATGTTTCTATCTCTCTCCCCCTCTCCCTTCCTCTCTGAAATCAGTAAAACTATATTAAAAAAATAGTGTGGTGGGGAGGATATTTTCAAGTTATTTTTGAGAGATGGAGATGCTAAGTTGTCTAATAAATCGAAGTTTTTCAAAAGTAATAATTTGGATTAACTGCACGTATAATAACTATTACCCTCCCCCCCTCCCAAAAAAAAGATACGATGAAAACGTTAATATACAAAGGAAAGGGCAGCTGGCCAAAAAAGCAGTAATATACTCCACTTCGTATTCTTATTACGACACAAATTTTGAGGTTTTGTTGATCCACTCACTTGTTTGGTCAGTATTTCAGAAATTTAGGCATTTCAGGCTTTCACGTTGTCTTAAATTAGATAAAGAAGTGTAATTTTGTGATTATTAATTTGAGATTCATCTAGCATTTTCTGCATAGCTCTGGGGGAAGGCACTGAAGGAGTGCAGAAGAGGTGAAGATTGTGTTTTTTTTGTACACCAGGTACTTAATCTCATAAAAATTTAAGTAACTCTGTTAGAAGGTGATTAAGTTCTACTGTGACTGGTTGAATCTTAACAACTTTATAGAGAATCACTTGCCCTGGGCAAATCACTAAACTGCCCTGGGTCTCAATTTTTTAATATAAAAAATGAGTTTTGGGCTAGATTTCAAGTTTCCTTTCAGATTAAATTTTACTAATGTAAGCATTAGAATTTGATTGGTTTCAAGATTCCCTCTTACCCCACTGCGAATTTTTATGGAGTGTTTTTATTTATTTACTTATTTATTTATTTATTTATTTATTTATTTTTAACAGCTTTTGATAGTTTGTGGACTGAGGAAATGGAGCTGCTATATCTTTCTTATCCATAAACCATTCTTGGAGGTTTGGGGAGTGGATTGCTGAGGTAATGATAGTAGGGATGAAGTAGGGGAAAGAGCGGACATAGGGCTGCTAGATAGAACAGCAGTAGAGAGTGATGTTATCCAGGTAACACTTGAAGATCTGATAAGTCTCCTTTTAACTAGGTAGATGGGATTTAACTCTCTAAGGGGGGAAATGGTAGTTTTGAATTGTGTAGGTACTTGGATTTGAAGTTCTTATCAGTAGCTTCAGGTTAGTTGTGGTCTAATTGAACATTTCCCCCTGATTCTAACCTGGATTTAAAAAAAAAATATTGCCATTAAAGATGAAATTATATTTAGAGTCCCCAAGTGTCGTTTTTAAATTTTTTTTAAAACCAGTCTTGGGAACACAAGGGGAAATTTATCTGACAAGAAGAGCGTTGTAAATATGTTTTTTTGTTAAATTTCCCTCCCCCTCCATTCTGTGGAAAAGATTTGTGGATTCTACTTCCTTTTAACTGAGTAGTTGGCATAAAATTTCAGCAATCTGGATGTAGCTTCAGGCCTCCCTCCTTGGTGTCCCTCGAGCCCCCCCCCCCCCCAATGTAGTCTGTGGTTATCAATAGATAGGGGAACAAATCAGTTATTTGAATTCAGATCCAGCATTTAATAAACTTGGTATCAGGTGATACCTTAGACTCTCTTTCTTAGTTGAAAAACATAAACTCATTCAATTCTAGGGCCTGTGCAATTTTCTTTCATGAAGATAAGTAAAAGTAAAGTGTAATTTTGTCTTGCTGCATGCTGTAAATAGGGAGTTTGTTTCAACAGGCCCTCAAACATCTGATGCAGTCCTACCTTTTCAGCCTGTATTCAACTGCTCTCTTACATAATTGCTCTGCTTCAGCCAGGTTGATATTTTTTGCCTTTTCAAACATACATACATGCCTTATGTTTTCCTCTTTTCCCACTAAAAAGTTCTCTTTGTCCTTTGAATCTCTGTAACCCTTTGTTCCAGTCACAGGCACTTAAAACTCGTTCAGTGCAGTTTTTATTTTATTTTAATTTTTTGGTCAGTGCAGTTTTTATAACTAATTCTTCTGATACATTAGGAAAAATAACATGTTTTTGTACATTTTTGTGTTCCTCTTGCCTTATCCTTTCTCTCCTAGCAGTGACTTGCGTGTAGGTGTTTATGAGACACAGGAAGAAAGTGAGAGTAGGTGAGGGAGGGAAAGTAAAAGGCTTACAGACTTTGTAGTTAGGTTCAAATCTTGATTCTTCTGCTTTTGTGTAGACAAGTTACTTTAAGTTTTTGCCTCAACTTCCTTTATCTACAAATGGAGGATGATTATACCTTCTTCAAGTTTGTTTCTCCAAATTTGTTATATATGGGCTTGCTTTTTAGTGGGGAAAAACCTTTTGACCCTATGAGAACAAGTCTAAGGACTTGGTGTCTGGCACATATATGTACTTAATATCCCTTGTGCAGAAGTAGAGAGAGGGAGGAGGAGGTGAGAGAAGAGACTGAACTTTCAGGTCAATTACTGTCAAACTTAGACTATTCTCTGGAACTTCAGGTTTTGTTATTGTTTGAAATGTAAATTAGCTGATTATCACGGTTTTGGTTTTTCAATTGCCTTGTATATTTAAACCTTCTGAAGCTTCAGGTGAATGGGATATTGCTTCATAGAATTACTGTACTTTCTAGGCCACAAAACAGAATTATAGTGACTACTACTTTTTGTGTCAGTTTTTCCCCCTTGCTCTAAATATTGGGACATGCTTTATCATGTAGCAGGAAGTATAATTTCTTTTCTTTTTTTAATGGCATGGAACTTAATAAATTCTGTCCTAGGGATTTAAAGTTTTCCATTAAACTTGCAAGTCCTCAAGTAGTAAGTTTTATATGTAGAATCAAATCCTGTTAGAGTTGGAAGGATGTGTTGAATGGAAAACTTTTACTTTCTGAGACATTTGGAGTCCTGTAAAGTAATCAGGATCAAATCTCTACTCATGAATATTTTCCTGGTGTTTTTATTTTTTTAGAGAGGAAGGGAGGGGGAGAGATAGAGAGAAACATCAATGTGAGAGAGTTAACATGGATCGGTTGCCTCCTGTATGTTCCTGACTTGGGATGGAACTCACAAGGTATGTGCCCTGACCGGGAATTGAACTTGGGACCTTCTGGTGCATGAGACAATGCTCCAACCAACTGAGCCACAGTGGGGCTCCTGGTGTTTTAATTAGAGTCTAAGAACGAAGGGGTTTTACCTTTGGATTTACTTAATATTTTTGGACCTTTTAGACCAGTGGTTCTCAACCTTCCTAATGCCGCGACCCTTTAATACAGTTCTTCATGTTGTGGTGACCCCCAACCATAAAATTATTTTCGTTGCTACTTCATAACTGTAATTTTGCTACTGTTATGAATCATAATGTAAATATCTGATATGCAGGATGTATTTTCATTGTTACAAATTGAACATAATTAAAGCATAGTGATTAATCACAAAAACAATATGTAATTATATATGTGTTTTCCGATAGGGTCGTTCGACCCCCAGGTTGAGAACCGCTGTTCTAGACATTCAATTTCTCATTTACAAGATGGGGAGGGGCTGGAGATTGGTGTTTCCCATTGAAACACATAGGGTGATATAAACTAAACAAGTTTTTGTTTTGAATGTGAAAGGACTTAAAGACAAAAGCCTATCTTTTAGGTAGGTAGGTAGTTGGTTCCCTAAGGGTGAGAGCCTTGCTTGTTTTGTTTACTATAGTAGCCCAGTACCTGATAGTTACTGGTTTAACTTGTTGAATGGATGAAATTATTAAAAAGACAAAGTTTCAAAGTAGGAAGGATATGCTCTCAAATGAAGTATTTGCCTTAAAACCAAATAGATTTAGCTTTCTGAACAACTACCTTCACTTTACTTACTTTTCTCTTTTGCCATTGTATGTACCCCACCCCCCTGGAATTAGTGGAGTAGATGTCTTAAGAATCTCTTCCAGTGTGGAATATTGGAATTCACTTTGGTTTTGACAGAACAAATAATTTATAAATAGTAAGAATCTTCTTAACTGGAATTTGAACATATAGCTTGGAGTGTCTTATTATAAACCGCATTTTTTATTTATTCTTAATATGTTTTTATTAATTTTTAGATAGGAAGGGAGAGAGGGAAAGATAGAAACATCAACTGCCTCCTGCACGCCCCCCACTGGGGATCCAGTCCACATTCTGGGCATGTACCCTGGACCTCATGGTTCATAGGATGATGCTCAATCCACTGAGCCGCACCATCCGGGCAAATTACACACCCA